GGATATAAATAAATTTTATTATTATTATTACAATGAAAAATGAAGTTTTCTCTTGGCCCAAACTAAATTGTATCACTTTTAATCTGTGTAATGGCAATAAAACTGCAATACCCTCTGCAGAATTGTTTTCTAGGCTATTTTCTCTTCTTAGCCCCTGAGTAAGGGAGGGAGATCTAGCTGCCACAAGTCTCCAGCTCCTTCCCTGGTACTCCCTGATCCCTCTCCCTCATTTTCCTTCTGAGAAATGGAGTCCTGAGTTAACTGAATCAAATCTAATTTTCTCTTTCCTCTCTCTGGAAAAAAAGTTCACTCTGTGTACCTGGCCAGTTAAAGTTCCAGTGAGGTTTAACAGAGAGGTTTAAAAAGCAAGTTTGTATTCTAAATAAAAAAGATTCCATTAGGCCAGTAAGACATCATACCGTTTGTCATCCCCCCCTTTGCATGTTATAAGCTTAAGTAGCTGAAGAGTTAACAAAACAAACTGCTTTGTAGTATATTCGAAATCAATCATCAACTAGAGACTATAAAATGCCTGTTGCCCCTTACTAAATGATCTGTGATTGAGGTAAATATCTTGTTCTCATGTTTTCCACTGCTGGAAAGCCACAAGTATGGATTCCTCCAGGGTCCAGCTCCTACCAGTCCTTCCCTGGAGCGCTGTTTTTTAAAATAGACCTGGGCTCCAAAGGTTCCAGATGCTTTTTGACTTTTCTGACTTCTATGGAACTTCACTGGTAAAGGGTTTTTTCACCTGATCTTTTTTAACTCTTCCTTAAGTAATTTTATTAATCTTTTGTTAACTAGAAACAGCTTGGTTCCATCATTGGGTAATGGCATGGAGTTACATTATATCAGGCCTGTTGATACAGATCCCTAGAAGACCTGTGAAGCCTGGTTATCTTGAATTATCTATGGGAATGTTAAATCTTGTGAGGAGAAATTCCACACTTAATAGGCTTTCATTGAAAGAGTTAAAGGCTGCAAACACAAGTTTACCACATATTATCCTCAAACAACCAAACTTTGGTAGACCAGACCTTTCCAAAGTCACCATCCGAATTAGATGTTTTGTTCAACATGAAGCTTTCCCTGAAGAAGACAGCACTGTGTCAGATTCTTCCTGTGATGTTTAGGGCTACTTTGTGTTTTTCTTTGCTGGTAACAGCCAGTGATGTGCCATTGGAATGGAAAACTGTGTGGCAGCATAGTCTTGTGGTAAAAGTATTTGTGGCTGAGAGATTGGAGTGGATGTGTGGAGAACTTGACATGAGACTCATTTTCAGTGGCAATGGAGTGATGATTATAATACTTGGTGTCTACAGTTGAAGGGTGAGTTGAACCTGTTTTTCCCTGGTCTTTGTGCAACATTCCTTGTCCAACACCTTGTATGTCTACAACACACTATCTCTCCAGTGTTTACATACATTTATAATCTTTATTCAGGATGCCCAGCATTGAGCCCTGGTGAAAAAAATGTCTCTCTTTTTTAGAGGGGTCAGACTGGGCTGCCTTGAAAAGCAGGTGAAGGTAGAAAATATTTTTGTGGGTGGTGGGAGGACAGGCAAAGAGACACTGTTGAATGTTGGTGCATATTGAAGGAGTTCCATCTCCTGCTTTCTATGGACATCTGCCCCACCCGTAGTTCCACTTAGTAAAAGAAGCCTATATGTATCCTCTCTTGTGGCTTTTTCAGGGATCAGATGTTACTGAAAACCTAACTACACCCAACAGGCTAATCCAGGATAGTTACGGTATATTGTGTCAGGAAAGAGTAACAAATCTTTTACCAGAACTTGTGTATACACTTTGTGGATATATTAGTAAATCATGTTTGGAACTGAGCATCCTTTCCCTTTTCTTACTGCTGATTTTTATCCAGCCTGGGCAGCTGCACAATCAGAGGCAACCAAAGTTACAATTTAGCCTGCAGCAGGAATGGGATCAGTGCGCTGCCATTGCACACACACCCCAAACCACTTTCATGTGGGGGATCAAAGCAGAGACAGTACATCTGTGCTGTTTGAAATCAGTTCCTTCCTTTACTGTATTTTTTAAAAAAGGTTTTTCAAAACTGGTGTGGGTTACTCTTGCAGGGAAACAATGAAAGCAAGAGTTAAAATTTCCAAGGAAGAATTGGGTTCAGCAGTCGAAACTAGAAACAAATTGGCTTTGTTAAAAACCGTGGAGACCTGGCACCCTCCATATGTGTTGGATTACATTTTACATCAGACCCAGCTAGGGTTTATGAGGGTTGCCCCCAAATAACAGTGGTAGTTTCTTGCATTATCTGATAATGACCTTTTTTTAAAGTTTAAAATGTCTGCAGATTTGCATGCAGAAGAGATTGGTGGCTTTTTCCAGGCCAGTTCCTGCCAGGAAGGAGAAGGAAAGCAGTTTCTGGGCAGCCATTTTGAGTGGAGGAAGAGAGACAGAGACGTGCCTCCAGAATAAGGTAGCATCCAGGAGCTCTCTGTAGAGTTAGAAACCTAGTTGATTTTGCTCGCTGACACAGCCTGGTGAAAAGTCCAAGAGAACAAGGGCCCTTTATGTGGGTCTTTACCAGGGGACTTTTTGAGGGAGAAGCCCACAGTCCTGTTGCACTACTTACTTAAGATTTCTCAATATGGACACTGAGGGAGTTGCTGCAATCA